GGTTCTCTCGGGATAATTAAGTTAAGCCTAATTTAAGGGGGGAATGCAAGGGGGGGTAGGGTAGAGGGGGAGCTTCCCAAAATAAAGGGGCTGGCATGTCGTTTACCCATATTCCCTGTCGTTAGGCATTGCCTAAGTTACCCCTCAACCCTAAACCCTAAACCCTGAACCGAAGCCCCGAAAGCCCTTTAACCCCCAAAAGCCCTACACCCCTAGACCCTTAAGCCCTTAAGGCCCGGGTTTCGGGCTTCGGGTTTAGGGTTTTTCAAACCCTAAACCCTAAATCCTAAACCCTAAGCCCTAAGCCGTAAGCCCTAGGCCCTAGGCCCTAAGCTCTAAACCCTGCCCATAAACTCTGAAGGCCCCAGAGGATCCCCTGTGGAGGAGACCTGGTCATCGCTTGGGGTCATACGGCCTTCGGTGCAGACTGCGACAAAGTGCGAAAGCGCCTCAAGGGCGTCCAGAAGATCAAGGCAAGCATGGTTTTCGGATCTGGGGTGGGTTTAGGGTTCAGGGTTTAGGGTTTAGGGTTTTTGGTCTGAGGGATTTTCAGGGTTTAGGATTTAGGGGGTTTAGGGTCTAGCAGGGTTTTGGGTTTTGGGGTTTGGGACTTAAGGTCCTTCGAAGTCTCAGAGCATTGGCCAGTCTGTACACCGAACCCACAACGTGCCGCAGACACCCAAAGAGGGTCGCGAAGGGTTTACTTTGCCATAGCGGGGTAGCATTTATTTTTTTAAGGGTACTTAAACTCAACCAGGAATAGAAATTTAAAGAGCTTGAATATTGAAAGTTTTTACCGGCCTAGAAATTTCAATGTTTAATCCTATCCCAGCCATGAACTAGTATTTAGGGTTTAGGATATCTCCTGCCCTAGCAACAAGCAAAACTCATTCCCCGGATCGGTGTCTGTGTTGATTTTCTTTACTGGCCGTTTATTTTTCGTCCCACGCCCCTATCTGGGGGTTTCCGAAAATCGTGCTACCCTGTTTGGGGATCCCTTTAAGGGGATTCCATTCCCTTTAGGGGTATACAGGGGTACCCCTATTTTCGTAAACCCCCATGTGGCATCTCTTGATGACAGGCCCACGACGACGCCTTTGCGGCCATCGTTGCAGAAGCCTGGTAGCGGAGTAGGTAGCCTTTAACCTTTTTGGGGTAGTATGATCCCCTTATAGTCCCAAAGGTCAACCTCTAGTTCCCCCAGATTACCGGACAACGAAGGAAGGACGAATGGTCATATGGGGTGATTCTAGACTGGCTGATGACAACTTGGCCGTTGGAGTCCACGCGATTCAGAGCAGTAACAAGGCCTTATGGGGTTCTTAAGGGAGGGGGGTTCAAGGGTGGGTAACCCAAGGTTCCCTTATCTCTCCCCACTAATGTTGTACCTCCTTTAGTCTTGGGGGACTTACTTAGCCGACGGTTTTTTTCTCTAATCGGGAGGGTGTGGCAGTTGAACGTTACACTTTTTGGGTCTCCTAATTTAACAGGAATAGTAAAGTTTAACCATGTTTTTCCTCCCTTGGTTCTTGGAGAAGTAAGGTAAGAAGGCCTTTGCTGCCATTCAGGAAGATGGACATGTTGTGACATGGGGGTCTTCCGCTTTTGGTGGAGACAGCAGCGCAGTGGTACCCTTTTTAGCCCTTTTTGGGTAAAGTAACCCTAAACACTAAACCCTAAACCCTAAACCCTAAACCCTAAACCCTAAACCCTAAACCCTAAACCCTAAACCCTAAACCCTAAACCCTAAACCCTAACTAAGGTGGAGATAGCAGCGAAGTCCAAGAGCAGCTCAGGGATGTGCAGGCGGTTCAATCCAACCCTGCGGCCTTTGCAGCGACTTACCTTGGCCAAGGGTTGAACTTTTAGGGTTTAGGGTTTAGGGTTTCTTTTGGGTTTCCTTATTGAGCAGGAATAATCAAGTTCAACCCTTTTTCTGCCTCCTTGGCTACTTGAGAAGTAAGGCGATTCGGAGAGATGGCACGGTTGTCACTTGGGGTGATTCCAACAAGGGTGGTGACAGCAGCGACGTCCAGGGTGAGCTTCGGGACGTGCAGCAGATTCAATCCACGGGCTACGCCTTCGCGGCACTCAGGTCGGACGGCACTGTTGCCCGGCAGTCCTGTAAGAACCTTGATTTGTTCTTCTTTTTTTTTTTTGGGGGGGGGGGGCAAGAACGCCGAAGGCTTCGTTGATTCATCTGGTTTCTATGCCTGAACACACGCATGTGAGGTCGTCACATGGGGTCAGTGCGACAGCAGCGCAGTACAGGACCAGCTCACCAACGTGAAGCAGATCCAAGGCAACTACTGGGCTTCTGGGACCCGGTGGTGTAGTCCCTTACTTCCTTCTTTTAGGGTTTCGGGTCTCCCATGTAATCCCCTTAAAACCAAACGGGTACCCTTTTTTTATTCCAAAAATGACTCCTGGGTCTAGGCTTTTGCTGCAATCCGCGAAGATGGAGGAGTTGTGACCTGGGGAAACAAGAAGAGCGGAGGCGACTGTGCGAAGGTCCGAGACCTTCTGGTAGCTTAGTAACTGAATGAGTACACTATTACACTCTTTGGGGATAATAGAATCTCCTATAGAACTGAAAGTGTACACCTTCTTGGAGCTTATGAACTTAAACCCTAAACCCCGACTGAACCCTGAACCCTAAACCCCAACCTTACACACCGGATGTGGCACCAACTAAGGAGAACGTGCAGCAGATCCTAAACCTAAACCTTAACCCTAAACCCCAAACCCTAAGCCCGAAGCCCCAAGCCCCAAGCCCTAACCCCTAAGTCCTAAACCCTAAACCCTAAACCCTAAACCCTAAACCCTAAACCCAAGGTGAATGTGCAGCAGATCCAAGCCGGCGCCGAGGCCTTCGCTGCGATCTTGGCCGATGGCTCCGTGGTCGCCTGGGGAGAGCCGAGCTACTTGGGGGTTTAGGGTTTAGGGTTTAGGGTTCAGGGTTTAGGGTTTAGGGTTTAGGGTTTAGGGTTTAGGGTTTAGGGTTTAGGTAGGGTTTAGGGTTTTGGGTTTAGGGCCTTTAGAGTTTAGGGCCTTTAGGGCCTTTAGAGCCTTTAGGGCCTAAAGGGCCTAAAGGGCCTTTAGGGTTTAGGGTTTAGGGTTTAGGGAGTTTTCCTTGGTGGCCCCGTGGTGCCCTTTGACCCTGCTTTTGGTTCAAGATTACCTTAGAAAGTAACCCTTACAAAGCCTAAACCCTAAACCCTAAGCCCTAGAATAGGTATACTGGGCGGCTCAGGTTACGGAGGCGACTGCAGCGCAGTTCAGGATCAACTCTTTGAGGTTCAAAAGATCCAGGTCACCAAGCAGCGAGGAGCCTTCGCGGCGATCCGGGCGGACGGAAGGGTGGCCGGGCTTTTTAGGGTTTAGGGCTTAGGGTTTAGGAAGGTTGTGTACTATAGGGGTCGGAAGAATTGCTAATAGTATCCCTTATGGTCTCTTTGTAATTTGTTCTATATTAGGCTCTTACGTATGTCCCCCTTGAATTGGGTTGAAGAGGATCAGATTAAGGAAGATCTTCCGAGGGTTCGAGAAAAGGTCTTAGGGCTCTGGCTGAAGGGTTCTTGGGGGCTTTTCTTCTTTGTGTGCGTGCTTGGAGCTGTTGTTCGCTTTTGCATGGACCAAGGACGGTGTCATGGATGCCTTTTCATGTATCAAACCAAAAGGGGTTCCTACCATTACAACTATTGCACTACTGATACCTGTTGCACTAATCACTCGTGTACAGCCATCGCACCACTGTTTTCGACCACTCTAGAATTATTCGCCTACCGTTATACTACTATCACATACTTTTGCTATCTCATTCTTCCACTGCACTCCATGAGTATCGTCTTGCAATGCACCCAATCCCCCCCCCCCCCCCAAGGTCGTTACATGGGGATCCAAGTCCTGTGGGGGTGACAGCAGTGGAGTGCAAGATCAACTCAGGGATGTCCAAGCGATTCAGTCAACGGACTCTGCCTTTGCTGCCATCAGAGCAGACGGCACCGTTGTCGCTTGGGGCGGTAAGAGTGACGGAGGCGACAGCAGTGCAGTGCAACACTTGCTCACGGACGTGACGCAGATACAGTCCACCGGCGAGGCCTTTGTTGCTGTCAAGGCAGATGGTTCGGTGGTAACCTGGGGAAGCAGTTCGAACGGCGGTCAGAGCTCCCACGTCCAAGACCTCTTTGCGGAGCTTTGATGCTGTGTCTCACTCCTTTGGATGCCGACTGCAACCGGCTTGCAAAAACCAGGTGCTTTTTTTTCTGGTGATGGGCCCTAAGTTTGGGGTTTAGGGTTTAGGGTTTAGGGTTTAGGGTTTAGGTTACCTGACCCGAAACCCGAAGCCCCAAACCCTTCAACCTTCAAGCGCAAAGGACCCAGGGCCCATCCCCTGAACCTGAAGCCCTAAACCCTAAACCCTAGACCCTAAACCCTAAACCCTAAACCTTAAACCCTAAACCCTAAACCCTATTGGAACCGTAGAGCTGCCCCATTCCTGCATGCCTCATATGGCACTACCTTCACCTCCACCGTGCCTCCTAAAGGGGGGCTTTCAGCCCCCCCTGCTTGCAGGAAGGCCCTGCACCCCAACATCCCAAGCCCTGAAACCCTAAAGCCCGAAACTGCCACCCCAAATCATGCAGTGCTAGTGGCACACTGAACTCCCAACCTCCATGTCCAAAGCCTGCAAACTAGCCCTGAAGAGGAAGACTCCTTAAATCTTACTGGGTGATTTTAACATGTTTTCAAGAATATTCTGTAACAAAAGGGATATGGAGAAGCCTTAAATGCCCCAAAGCCCGAACATCCTCAAGCCACTAAACCCTAATTCTAATCTGGTTACTGGGCTGCCAAGAACCTTTAGCAATCCCGACGCAGCAGCAAAAGGCCTGGTGGTTTGAGGGCTTTGCGGCCTAAACCCTAAACCCTAAACCCTAAACCCTAAACCCTAAACCCTAAACCCTAAACCCTAAACCCTAAACCCTAAACCCTCTAAGGTCCTGGTGGATCCGCACCCCGCGACGCCCCTGCGGCCGCCGCTCTTCTCATCAGGGGTTTAAGGTTTGGGGTTTAGGGCGTTTAGGGGTTAGGGGTTAGGGGTTAAGGTTTTGGGGGTTAGCTAGGGATTGAGGAGTTTAGGTGTTTCGTGGTTTAGGGGTTTAGGTAGAATTTGGTGGTTTTTAAGCCTTAGGGTTGGGGTGTTTTAGGGCTCAGGGAAACCCAAAGCCCTGAGCCCAGGGCTGAGGCGTTTGGGGTTTCAGGGTTTCAGGGTTTCAGGGTTTCAGGGTTTCAGGGTTTCAGGGTTTCAGGGTTTCAGGGTTTCAGGGTTTCAGGGTTTCAGGGTTTCAGGGTTTCAGGGTTTAGGGCCTAACAGGATTGAGCTCGAAGCCCTCATCCTAAATCCTAGGGCCTCCACCATCCGCTCCGAGAGGCTTCTAAGATGATTTTGACTCGTGGCCTGGGTTTCGGGTTTAGGGTTTAGGGTTTGGGGTTTGGTGTTTAGATTTAGGGTTTAGGGTTTAGGGTTTAGCCTTTAGTGTTTAGGCTTAGGGTTTTGCTTATAAGGTTTTAGGGACTCAACACCCTGAACCCGAACCCTTGACCCTGAATTCCCAAAGCTTCGAACCCCAAACTCTTCTCTCGTAAGTTAGGGTTTAGGGTTTAGGGTTAGGGGTTAGGGTTTAGGGCTTAGGGTTTAGTGTTTAGGGTTCAGGGTTTAGCGTCGCATTGGCGAGGTGCCCAAGAGCGACGCCAAAGTGGTACTCCCAGGTGCGAGAGGGGTTCTTGTAGTGGGTTTTGGGCTCAAACCGACGGGTCCTTGTCGTGGTTTGTGGGCCCAAATCGACGGGTCCTTGAACCGTAAACCCTAAACCCTAAACCCTAAACCCTAAACCCTAAACCCTAAACCCTAAACGCCCTCTTTCGGGTTTAGGGTTTAAGGTGGGACTGAAACCTTCACAGGGCTCTAAGGTTGGACCCCTGAGGTTGTACCCCGGAGGTTGTACCCTTAAACTTGGAGACCCTTTTTAAGGATCCTCTAAGGGATATCAGGGTCACCGTAAACCCTAAACCCTAAAACCCTAAACCCTAAACCCTAAACCCTAAACCCTAAACCCTAAACCCTAAACCCTAAACCCTAAACCCTAAACCCTAAACCCTAAACCCTAAACCCTAAACCCTAAACCCTAAACTAAACCCTAAACGAGGGAACCTCTTATGGGTACAGGCTTATAGGGCAGCCGAAGGATCCTCTAAGGGATACGAGGATCGTATTCGGAGGCTAGGTTAGCCCTTGGGACATGTTATATAACCTCCCTTATTGGGTTTAAGAGGGTCACATCCAGGAATATTTTTTCAGAGGGTGTTAAGGGCAATCCTAGGGTTTAGGGTTTAGGGTAAGTTTAGGGTTTAGGGTTAGGGTTTAGGGTTTAGGGTTTAGGGTTTAGGGTTTAGGGTTTAGGGTTTAGGGTTTAGGGTTTAGGGTTTAGGGTTTAGGGTTTAGCCCTAAACCCTACCTTGCCTTAGCATGTACTCTTTGAATCCCAACTTAAGACCCTAAGCCTCATGAGACTCTTACCTTGGACCCCTGAGGTTGTACCCTTGGGTTTTGGGACCCCTTTAAAGATCCCCGAGTATGGTACGGGAACCTCTTAGGGCTACATCCTTAGGGGTCCGAGTATGACTCCCTCGAAAGCCCCAAACCCTAGACCCTAAACCCTAAACCATAGACCCTACCTTGCCTTAGCCTACACCCTGTTGAACCCCAACTTAAGACCCTAAGCCCTGCAACCCTACAACCCTAAATCCTAAACCCTGGTCGGATCTAACCCTAAACCCTAAACCCTAAACCCTAAACCCTAAACCCTAAACCCTAAACCCAAAGCCCTAAACCCAAAACCCAAAACCCAAAACCCACACCCTTCCTCGCAGCTTTCTCCCGCAGACCCGGTGAGTGCGGCGGACGCCACATCCGCAGGCTTCGTCCGGGCACATCTTTGGGTTCGCAGGGTTCCGGGGGTAGGGGTATAGGTTTAGGGGTTTCGAAAAGCATGCTCCTCAAATCGCTAACCCTAAACCCTAAAAACCCTAAAATCTTAAAAACCCTAAAAACCCTAAAAACCCTAAAAACCCTAAACCCCAAACTTGCTTCCACTTGTTTGGTACATGCGGACGCATGGTTTGGGGTTCGGTGCGTTTAGTCTCTTCGGGGTCGAGGGTTCAGAGACTTAGGTGCGAGGTTTTGGGCTTAAAGCCCTAAGCCCTAATTCCCAAACCCTAAACCCCAAACCCTAAACCCCAAACCCTAAACCCTAAACCCTAAACCGAAAACCCCAAACCCTAAACCCTAAACCCCAAACCATGACCCCTTAGACCCTAAACCCGAAGTTCGAAGTTCAGGGCTGATCCTGAGATGGTCTAAGGAATATTCCTTTCTTTGACAGGGTGGTTTTGGGGTTTAGGGTTTAGGGTTTAGGGTTAGGTAGGAGATGCTGCTAAGGAACTGCCACCACTAGATAGCCATGCTCTGGGAGCTTATACTGTTTAAGTTCCTAACACCCTTCCCCCCCTCCCCTCCCCCCCGAAGCCCTTAGGCTAAGTTCCAAACCCTAAACCCTAAACCCTAAACCCCCTGAGCTTCAGCTCCTACTCAGCGTGGAAGGAGATGCGGGCATCACTTCCTCAGCATCAAGCGGGAACCTAGGCTCGAGGGCTTAGGGCTAAGTTTTGCAACCTGTAGCCTAAACCCTAAACCAGCTTAGGGTATATGTTTGAGGGCTTGAGGGGGGCTTGTGAATTTGGGGTGTTCTCACGTCGCGTTTTTGAGGGTCTCTGTGTTTAGGGTTGTCTTGACTGGGCTTGCCGGCGTTCATGCGCCTATGGTAGCAGCTCAACTCCAGACCCTAAACCCTCAGCCAGGTTTAGGGCTTCGGGTTTCAAACAAGGCGTTGCTAGGAGTTGGGGGTTCTTCTTTTTGTATTCTGGTGTGTGGTTTCTATGGGTATCTCAATCTTCAGAGGCTTGGGAAGACCTTCACTCTAGGATGCAATGTATTGGGCCGAGAGCTCAGCTCTTTGGTTGTTTGAACCCCGGAAGTCCTCAACTCTAAACCCTAACCTTGGGGATGTTCCCCCTTATACTAACAGTCCTTTAGAGGGTTTTTAGTACCCCCCCCCTTGCCCCTTATATAATCCCTATTGAGGACTGTTAGTATAATGAGGGGGAACATCCCGACCCAAACCCTACAAGTATCAACTCAAAACAAGACTTCAACCGAAACCCCACCAACCCTGCAGCCCCAATTTGCTGTCCCTAAGCCCTTAGCTAAGTGGGTAAACATTGAAACTTCATCGCACTAAGGAAGCACTCTTTCTAGCCCTAAACCCTAAACCCTAAACCCTAAACCCTAAACCCTAAACCCTAAACCCTAAACCCTAAACCCTAAACCCTAAACCCTAAACCCTAAACCCTAAACCCTAAACCCTTCCTGGAATACCTCGAAGACCCCCTCAACCCCAAGCTTCGGCCCACCGGGCAGGCTCCGGGATCTTCTCGGCCCTCTTCCGGCGGCAGTCTTCAGGAGGTGCAGGGTTTAGGGTTTAGGGTTTAGGGTTTAGGGGTTTAGGGTTTAGGGTTTAGGGTTTAGGGTTTAGGGTTTAGGGTTTAGGGTTTAGGGGTTTAGGGTTTAGGGTTTAGGGGTTTAGGGGTTTAGGGTTTAGGGTTTAGGTGTTTAGGGGTTTAGGGTTTAGGGTTAGGGGTTTAGGGTTTCGGGCTTGGGGGTTTGGGGTTCAGGGGTTTAGGGGTTTGGGGTTTACGGGTTTAGGGGTTTAGGGTTTAGGGTTTAGGGGTTAGGGGTTTAGGGTTCAGGGCTTGGGGTTTGGTTCAGGGCTTGAGGTTGCGGGTTGAGGGGGTTGGGGTGTAGGTCTGAGGGTTTGGTGTTTAAGGGTTGGGCTTGGGGTTAAAAACCCTACTCCCTCGATCCCTAAATTTCTAAAGCCCTATACCCCAAACCCTAAAACCCTAAAACCCTCAAGCCCAAGCCCTCATTCCCGAAACGTCTGGACGCCTATCTTTATGTCCCACACACTTGAAACCCTAAACCCTAAACCCTAAACCCTAAACCCTAAACCCTAAACCCCAAGCCCTAAACCCTAAACCCTAAACCCTAAATAGTACTAACCCTAAACCCTAAACCCCCACACACTTCAAGTCGATTGCCTCCCTCAGTCCTTCAACCGCTTAAGACTCAGCCCCCGAAGAGCTTAGGGGAGCTGAAGCCCTCAACCCTAAACCGAGGGGTTGAGGGTTTAGGGTTTAGGGTTTAGGGTTTAGGGTTTAGGGTTTAGGGGAAAGGACGATCCGTTCGTCCTTTCCTCTACTCCAAAACCTCCACCTAAGCCCTAAACCCTAAACCACAACTTATGTCGTACAGCATGTAGGGCTCTTGGGAGTCGTCGGATTTGGTCTCTAAGGAGCAGTCGCGCCATGACTAACCCTAAGACTCCAAAAAGCCTAAAGTTAAAGCAAGAAATGCCTGTGCACTTTTGGGTGCCCTAGGCTTAGGGCTTAGGGTTTAGGGTCTAGGGGTTAGGGTTTCGGGTTTGAGGTTTAGGGTTTCCGGTAGGGGTTTAGGGTTTGGGTGTCTGACACCCGAAGCAGTTCAGCCCGGATGAGCCCAATTCAACACAATCCATACGCAAAATGAGGGGGAAGGGGCCATCCGTAGCCTGCAAATCACCCGAAGCGCCTTTATGGGCTTAGGGGTTAGGATCTAGGAGCTTTTTGGGGATCCTAAACCCTTAAACTCTAAGCCCTAAGCCCTAAACCCTGAACCCTAAAAACCCTAAACCCTAAACCCGAAACCAACCGAAGCCAACTCCAGGACGTGGCTTACTAATCTTTGAAGCAACTTCCGTATGACAGTTTCGCAGGATGCTTTGCAAGGGATGGGCGTACACCCGAAACCCGAAAGTCGACCTCCAATCAGGTACCCCCCCCCCCCCGCCCCCACCCCCTAAAATAAACAAGCAAAAATGAAAAAACTAAAAGAAGTGGTACCCCCAAGCATCTAAGTCCTAAAGTAGGAAGAAGGGAATATTTCGCGGTACCCTGAATCCTAACCCTTCAACCCTAAAACCTTCAAGTTGCAGGGATGGTTTTGGCTTGGGCTTTGCGTGGGCTTCTCCTGGTCTCCATTTCCCCTAAACCCTAAACCCTAAACCCTAAACCCTAAACCCTAAACCCTAAATGTTAGGGTTTTTGGGCTCAGGGGTGGGAGTTCACGCCCCGGAATTCAGCCAACAAAACTGCATGCCAATCTTGGTGATGAGGGCTTACACTCCTAAACCCTATAAAACCCTAAACCCCCAAACCCCCAATCCCTAAACCCTAAACCCTAAACCCTGAACCCCCAAACCCTGAACCCCACAGGAGGGCTCGTTGGGGTTCTAAGCGCGTAGGCAGCAGGGTCGCAGGTTGCAGTAGGCGCCAGGGCTTTGGGGCCTGTAGAGGTGCATTTTAGGGTTTAGGGTGTGCGGTTTGGGGTTTAGGGTTTAGGGTTTGGGGTTTGGGGTTTAGGGTTTGGGTCTTGGGGTTTGGGGTTTAGGGTTTGGGGTTTTAAGTTTCGGGGTTTCATATAGCCCCGTAGATCCGGTGCTCACTGTCCCATGGCCACCCCAAGCCCTAATCCCCAAATCGTAACTGCGAAACCCTGACCCTAAACCATAAACCCCTTTTCAACTCCTAAACCCTATCCCTAAACCCTAAACCCCAAACCCTAAACCAAAACCCCCAACCCTGGATGCTGCGTCCCAAAGCTGATTTCTCAAGACCCGGTCTGCTAGGACCCAGTGGCAGCCCACCACATCGAAACCTTAAACAACAACGGTAAAGCCTTGGCATAGGGTTTAGGGTTTAGGGTTTCGGGTTTAGGGTTTAGGGTTTAGGGTTTAGGGTTTAGGGTTTAGGGTTTAGGGCTTGTCGATTTAACATGCGTAGTGTATGGAAAGAGAGACGGACGTCCGAAACCTTCAGCGCAAAAGAGTTCCGTCATGTACATGGAGCTCTACTTTCTCCCACCCCAGGATGCCACCCAAAGCATCTGTAGGACGCTTAAGTTCTTAAGCGTCGCTAATATTGATAATAGTGTCTGGTAAAGAGATTACAGAAAATGTGAGAAACAAAAGACCATGCACTTACACGGTAAATGGCTGTAATTATGTTCCATAATTACCATTTACTTCTAGGTAAGACTAGAAAGTCGGCTTGCTAAGGCCTTTGGGTGGCTTAGGGGGGCTTACCCCCTCCTGTGGGGTACTCCACACAGAAAAACGCCTTGTTTTGGAGTAATTTTTGGCTCCAAGCACGATTTAGAAAGGCCAGACAAAGAAAAACGCACTTAAAGAGACCACACACACAAAGAAACGCACTGTTTTGGAGTAATTTTTGGCCCCAAGCACGATTTAGCAAGGCCAGACAAAGAAAAACGCGCTGTTCCCGAGTAATTTTTGGCTCCAAGCATTTGGCTGGTCACGAGCACTCGAGGGTCCATTTTTTGATCCGGGTTTGACTGGGGCTTAGGGTGGCTTCAGAAAAGCCATTTAGCAAGGCCAGACAAGGAAAAACGCGCTGTTCCCGAGTAATTTTTGGCTCCAGGCATTTGGCTGGCCACGAGCACTCGAGGGTCCAGTTTTTGATCCGGGTTTGACTGGGCTTGATTTTTGGCTTCAACCACGATTTAGCAAGGCCAGACAAAGAAAAACGCGCTGTTCCCGAGTAATTTTTGGCTCCAAGGCCTTTGGCTGGCCACGAGCACTCGAGGGTCTATTTTCTGATCCGGGTTTGACAAGGCAGAGAGGAGCTCACCTTCTCCTGGGCTATTGACAAGAAGGCCAGAATTTTAGAAAATCAGGGGGTAATTTCCGCTATTTAAAATCTATTTAAACTTAACTAGGAATCGAGCCATTTTTCCCGAATCCTGGGGTACCCCTCACGGAGCCTCCTTGGGATCTCGAAAAAGCTTTCAGCTTCCTTCAAACCTTCGAAAGAGCTTTTCAGACCTTCGAAAGAGCTTCAGACAAGCCACACAAAGAGAAACGCACTGTTTTGGAGTAATTTTTGGCTTCCACCACGGTTTAGCAAGGCCAGACAAAGAAAAGCTTCAGAAAGGCCACGCAAAAAGAAACGCACTGTTTTGGAGTAATTTTTGGCTTCATTTTTGGCTTCAACCACGATTTAGCAAGGCCAGACAAAGAAAAACGCGCTGTTCCCGAGTAATTTTTGGCTCCAAGGCCTTTGGCTGGCCACAAGCACTCGAGGGTCCATTTTTTGATCCGGGTTTGACTGGGGCTTAGGGTGGCTTACCCTCTCCTGGGCTACCCCCACAAGAAGGCCAGAATTTTAGAAAATGAGGGGGTAATTTCCGCTATATAAAATCTATTTAAAATTAATTGGGAATCGAGCCATTTTTCCCGAATCCTGGGGTACCCCCCACGGAGCCT